TTTTGGCCGAGTTACACCAATTTTAATGAAGAGCAAAAGCCATTTTTACGTTTTATCCCAGAGGAAATAGCGGAAAAAATGGCTTTTGCTCTTCATTAAAATTGGTGTAACTCGGCCAAAAAACATCGGAGAGAGCTCGGAGACATCTCATTTTGTAGAGAATTGGTTGCTCTATCATTATAAGCTGTTAAAACAAAAAATCTTTCGAAATCATTGGTTGCAAAACCATGGTTTTCTAGAAACCCTACTTCCGAGGATTTCGGACAAAAGTGTCCGCTAGACAAAAGAAAGAGCATGTCGAGAAACCCTTAAGTACCAAGGGACAGCTCGATATGTTCAGCCGTTCTTAAGATGGTTTTCTGGTGGAACACGCCTATTAGATAAAATAGTTGAAGAAAAAAATGAACATATTAATCGACTTAGACATATTATTGATCAAACATATACACGATCAACTCAAATAAATAATCATATTAATGATGAATATTATTCATCAAGTAAATAAATAAAATAAATTTGATTATATTCTAAAAGTTAAAATAATAGACATCAAATATTTTATTAGTAGAAAAAAAAATATAATGATCATATTATTTATTTTTTTTGCTTTTCTATGAAACCTTTTTACTATTCAACAAAATGGATTCTATATGTAATTGAGAATAAGAATAAGAATAAGTATATTTTATGTATACGTTATAATAATGAAAAATTCAAAGTCTTATCTAAATCTAAATTTTAACCAAGGTATGAATTGAAGTATACTTTTACATATCTCATTATACAAAATAAACTAACCTTGTGATTACTATTGATCAAGGTAATTTCGATTAATTGGAGAATTTTTCCTACAGTTAACAAACTTCAAATATAATCAAATTATAACAATAGAAACAAGGCTAATTTGATATCGAATTTTGTTGTTTTTTTCGATTAGTAAATTCTTTATTAGAGCTCATCGGATTAATTTCGAACTCGAGATTTTTACTATTGTTTGATTCTGTCATTACATTTCAAAATATATTTTGTAAACTTTTTTTATAATTGTTAAAAACAAAATTTCTCTTTTTTCATTCTATTGTTTATAGTTTTGATTGAAATATGTAAAATATCTATATATTTGATTTCTTATAGTCATATATATAGTAGCAGTAAGATTAAATCTAAAAACCTATTGCAGATTTGAAGTAAATGTTATAATAAACGTTAAGATTAATCACAAAATAAAAATTCAATTTCTTTTTTACAAAAATTATGCTTCTGCATAAGAACATACATCAATTAGTTAAATTCCCGTATTTAGAATTTTGTTTAAGAATAAAGCAATGAAATAAAATAGGTTAAATATGAGTCAAAACTGTACAACATTTATTAATGTCCATTATCAGAGTTAAATGGCCGTGGGCATTTTTTGAATAACTTTTGATAGGAACGAGATAGAAATCTCCAATTTTCACCGTTGGAAAGAACAGATGAAGTCGCATCGAACTATAAAGATTTTTTTTAACTATTTTCCTATAGGTTTAGTCAAAAGTTTTCAAAGAATTGCTTTTTCCTCCTATGTTAAAAAAAGTGGCTTTTCTATCAAAATACGACAAAAATTTACATTTTTCGATTATTTTGTTGAAAAAAAAATGAGGTGGTAAATTGTGTTCCGATGGTTTACATATCATACTGGTAGTAGTTAGGAACAGCGTCTTGATATAGTTTTGTAGCTCTTCCTTTGGCCATTCTAGAGCACTCTTGAAAATCAACAAGTTGATATCATGACCATGAGAAGCATGCTGTTTTTCTTAAAGTTTTATATAAAACCTATAGGAAAGTAGTTAGAAAAATCTTTATAGTTCGATGCGTCTTCATCTACTCTTTCCAACGATGAAAACCGGAGATCTCTAACTCGTTCCTATCAAAAGTTATTCAAAAAATGCTCACGTCCATTTAACTCTGAAATGGACATTAGTTACATGTAATAATAATAATGTCGTAGTTGATGGTTTCTTCTATTGTATACTTTTTATTGTTGTTTATCGAATAACAAAGAAGATATATCTTTAGTAAAAACTATCGTATATCGAACTTCTCAATTATTATTATAATTAGTTGTACGGATTCGTCTGAGGTTAAACAATAAGATCGAATGAGACAGTTATTACTTAAGTTCATTTACTAACGAAAGAAATCCTTCAATGAATTAAACACTAAAGATATACCAACTATAGTTTTGATGATAGACATAAGAAGAGAAGAAAAAAAAAATTCTCGGTTAGAATTAAAGATCATTATTAAACGGAGAATGTTATATTCTTACGGTAGGCTTGTAATTCAATATCGTAATTCCCTTTTTCCTGTTAAGTTACTTCTAATTTTAGCAATTCTTTTTTTTTTGAATGTAAATTTATCATTCCTAGAAAAAAATTGATATTTGATATCAAGATTATAGTAAAAAATTCTCTATAGAAGATCTTTTCTTCATTCTTATTATCTTCTAATGATACTAAAATACTGATAAATATATGTTGACTTGCATACTTTTGAGATAAAACATTCACTTTTATTCTCAGATATATTCTAACAAATATAATAATATTAATTTATCATTTCTTAAATATGAGAAAGACTAATTTTTTGTTTGTATTTTGAAACTTTTCATAGAGAATAGAAATACTTAATTAATTAATTCAATTCTATATTTTATTAGAAGCTGAAGAATTATCAAAAAAAGTTATGGAACAAAATATTGAATTACAACATGAAATTGAAACATTTCGTTCTAAACTTGATTATATTGTAACATATATTAATCAAAAATTGGATCAACAAAAAACAATAACGACAACATCAACATCATCATCTTTATCTATACATCAATTGGTATTTGAAACTATGCAACAAACAGAAATGAAATTACTTGAATTTAAATTAAAATTTATTTCACAACAAGAAGAAAATGATCTTTTAAAATATTTAGTATGTATTATAAAAAATTCAAAAACAAAAAAGTAAAATTTAATTTAAATAATATTAGATGGAAAAATCACAAAATATATCAGATATTGAACAAACAAAATTATTTTCTATTATTCAACAACGTTCACTTGAACGTGAAATTGATCTTGTTCGTCAAGAACTTGAAATTACAGAGAAAAAAACTATTCAATTTGAACAAACAGTATAATTGCATTCTTTTTTTTGGATTGATATTTAATATATTCATAATTTTTAGTTTGATAATTCAGATGAAGGAATTAAATTTCATATGGAAAATCTTAAATTAAAATGTGATGTATTACATAAACATATTCTAACATGTAGTCAACGATTAGATGATATTAATAAACAAAATCTTATGAAATTAACAAATGAAAATCAAATATTAAAGTATAGACACAAACAAAAAATATTCGAATTTTATTTTTCCTATGTTTTTTTTTTTCGTATAGAATTAGAACTCAACATGAAGAATCAAATATTGATGTATGATGAATAAATTTCTTTTAATAAATTTCTTTATATAAATATAGGGTGTCCAGTAAGTAACTCCACAAAGAAAAAGTTGAATATCTCCATTACGGCTCGACCAAACGCGCTCATTTTTTTGCTAAGGATAGAGGCATGTTCACACTCCAAATCCATGCGGACAAAGCTACTGAGAATCTTTCTAAACAACCACTTTGAATTCAACAAAAAAAATTTAACTTTTTTACACGTAGGGAAAAAACAAATATACAGGATTGTGCAGAAGTCATTTTATCGAAAAAGAAAATTGAATATTTCCATTATGGCTTGCGCAAAAGAGCTGATCTTTTTTTATCAAAGATAGAGGCATGTTAACACTCCAAATCCATATGGATGAGATTAGTGAGAACTTATGGTAAGTATGTTGTTTTCTTTTTCTATCTGTGAACAAGTAAAATTTTCTTGTTGAGGTCAATAGTGATACTTAGCAAAGGTTCTCACTAACCTTGTCCGTATGGATTTGAAGTGTGAACATACCTCTATCCTTAATAAAACAAATGAGCCCGTTTGGTCGAGCCATAATGGAGATATTCAACTTTTTCTTTGTGGAGTTACTTACTGGACACCCTATATATTGTATATTAGAATAAACATATTGAACTTGAATTTGAATTATTACGTTTACGTGAACGTTATAGTGAATTAATTGAACATACAAATACACTTAAATATGAATTAAATAATGCAGAAAAACAATTACATGAAAAAGAAAAAGTAAATATTAACTTATGAATATTACTAATTTTCTTAATACTTAAATATCTTATTATATTTGTATAGAAACTAAGTAAAAATATATCCTAAAATAGATCGAATAAAACAATTAATCGATGATTAACAACTAGGTATCGGTGGGATCATCTTTTCTTTTTTTGGTCCTAGTTTCAATTTCAAAACTTTTTATTGTTTCTAGAAAAAAAAACGACTTTTCTTATAATCTGTATGATTTTTTGAATATATGTAAAATGACTATTGATGATTTTGAGAAATTAACAATCCTAGGTCGAAGATTCCGGTCACCGGATCCTGTAGGAAAGATGCGGGAAAATTCACCGTATTCTGCACGAAAACACTGAAAGTCACCGGAACAGGGTGGCAGTATTCCGGCCGGAAAAGTTTCGGATTTTTTCCGGACAACTTCCTGAAGAAAACGGGAGGAATTTGATCGGAAGTCACCGAAAAAATCCGAAAAATATCCAGCCGGAATACTACCACCCTGTTCCAATAACTTCCAGTGTTTTTCTGCCGGAACCCACTCGTACTTCTCGACCTGGGCATAAATAAATAAAAAAGGCCTATTTGTAGATCATTAGTCAGAACAGAATAATAAATATGGAAATAGGTAGTCTAGTTCTGGAACAGAAAACATTACGGGACCAGTTTGCAGATCTCTATTAGCAACACTAATTATATCATGTAATCGCACAAAGATTACATTTACAGATTTCTTTTATCAAATTTAAAGCAAAAAAAAAAAGTCAAGGTAATCATTTTGATCGGAAATGTTATTGCTAAAAAGTTCTTATCATAAGTGGTTCCCATATTGTAATAAAAGAAAAAAAAACTCCTGAAAGTGCCGATGGCGCAAGACGCCATCATATTGAATGCCGCCGACATACGTGAAATTATTCTCACAATTCATTACAATGAATACCGACTTAATATTATTTAATAAACAAAAAATGAAAACATTCCTAAAGCAAAATGTCTCAAATTTGAGTACCATTAGAACTCTTCAAAAGTGTTCAGTTTCTATTTTCGTCTTTCTAACAATTAATTAATTGCATGTTCTTTTTTTTTTAATCAAAGGTAAATCAGTTCGTGTTGACATGATTTAATGTCATAAGCTATTAATATAAAAAATATCGACAAGATGTTATATCAAATACTGTTGTTGTTATGTAAAATTGTTTTTTTTTTATCTAATTAGTCAATATTGTTTATCATAGTATCATTTATGTTACTCACATTATGGAAATTGTATGTTATTATTCATGTCATAATGAGAAAATTTTATCGTATATATATATATAGCCATGATTTATTTTCTGTCAAGAACAAATTATTTTGTTTTTTTTTATTTAAAATTTTGTATGTTTTAATTAATATATTTATTAATAAATATAGATTGAGCCAAATTTAAATGTTGATTTGGAAAAAGAACGACGACGTGCAGATGAATTTGAAAATGATTATAAATCTTTAAAAATAAAATTTGATGATGTATGTGAACGTATTCGTATAGCTACACATCAATTAGAACATGTACAAATTGTACTTGAAGAAACATCACGTCGTTGTGAACAATTAGAAAAAGAAAAGGTAAAGAAAAAAAGTACAAAAAATAATAATAATAATAATTTCATTCTCTTACATATCGCGTACATATTATTCTATAATTCGACTAGTTCAGCTACGGAAAGAATTCGTATTAATACATATGATTTATTATTGCTTCTCCTTTTTTTTCTCTTCGTGTTTTTCTATTCACTATTAAATTTCTTAGATAAAATATTTCCATAAGCACATTTTTCTGCACTTATTATTTTTTTCTTTTATCTTATATATAATACTCCTCTAGACTGAGACGATGAATTCAACATAATCTATATATATAAAGAAGAATGTCTGTTTGTGTGTTTGTGTGTTTGTGTGTTTGTTTGTTCTTCATGCATTTGGACACGGTACGAGCAAATGCTATGAAACTTTCCAGAAATGGTCTTTACACCTAGGAGAAGGTCGACATGTATTTTTTTCCGAAAAAAAACGAATCCTACACATGCTACAGGCGATCTATGAAACCGACCAATAGGGTTGCAACATTCGGTACTATAGAACTATAACTGAGTTCCACTTCATGAACACACAGGAAACATGGAACTAAGGTTTTCGAGGGCGCTGAGTTCGAATCTGGGATAGATTTCCCTCCAAATCTAATTGGTTGTTTGGAAACCAATAGGAATTCAGCTCTTAAAAAAATAGAGCCAAACACATATACTTTGAAGGAAATGATGGGGCACAGGGTTTTTTGAGGCGATGAGTTCGAATCTGAGGTCCATTCGCATCGAAATCTGATTGGTTGTTTGGAAGCCAATAGGAATTCAGCTCTTAGGAAAATAGAGCCAAACACATATACTTTGAAAGAAATCATTGGGCACAGGGTTTTTTGAGGCGATGAGTTCGAATCTGAAGCCCATTCGCCTCGAAATCTGATTGGTTGTTTGGAAACCAATAGGAATTCAGCTCTTAGGAAAACAGACCCAAATTTTCATACTTGGAAGGAAATCATGAGGCGCAGGGTTTTCGAGGACGGTGAGTTCGAATCTGGGGTCCATTTGGCTCTAAATCTGATTGGTTGGCCGAAAACCAATAGGAATTTAGCTCTTGAGAAAACGGGCCAAAACTCTTATACCTCCAAGAAAATGATGGGGCACTGGGATGTAGAGATTGTGAGCTCAACTCTGAGATCCATTTGCCTCGAAACCTGAGTGGTTGTTTGGAAACTAATAGGACTTCAGTACTTAAGAAAATAGACCAGAACACTTATACTTTGAAGGAATTGATGGATCAGGGGGTTTTTCGAAATGGTGAGTTCGAATGTGAGGTCTATTTGCCTTGAAATCTGATGAGTTGTTTGGAAACCAATAGGAATTGGGCTACTAAGAAACCTAGCTAATCAATCTTTGGTCGTTAGGAGAAAAGTCAGGTAGGGACTTTAGAGGCAATGAGTTCGATTCAAGGATCTAAGCACTGAATGTGGGTATACGGTATGGAAGCGAGTGTCTTCTTCTGTTTTTATAAATAACAATGTTTGTCTGTCTGCTGTTTGTACATTTGATTTCCGTAATAACTAGCGCCATCAAAATTTCCATTATATACTCTTTAGTGGAGAGAAAAATTGAGAGTAGATTGGCGCGACAGGCAAGGAAAGGAAGGTAATCGAATGTAATGTCACCCAGGTTGTGAAAATTGGAAATTCTCTAATCTCTATCTCTAATGTACGATAAGAAAAATAATGTTGACAGGCTGCCCAAAGAGTGAGCATGTATTCGTACCATGAATATTCATGGTTCTTACAGATATACCGTTTGAATTCAAGCGTCTTCAATTTGCTGCATGTCTTTCCTTCGCGATGCCTATCGACAAGGCTCAAGAGTAATTACTTAAGGTGGTTGGCATTAATCTAGAGAGCCCTTGCCTTTTTCATGGCCAACTTAACGTAGCATGCTGAGGAGTTGGAACTGGGAAGAGTTTGTTTATTTTGGGCCCTGTTGCGAAAATCGAGAAGGTTCTGTATCAAAAAGCGTTGCAATCGAAGTTGTATTTCTGTAAACGGTCTTTTGTAATAAAAGAAGTCGATCAAACAAAAAGAACACTGAAAAGGATAGAATTTTTTTTTTAAATTAAAAATGGGGAAAACATCAGTTGAAAAGGGAAAGTGATCTGAACATATTTTGCGATATCGAATTTCAATAATTGATAGGACATCATAGTGACGTCTTTTTCTAATATGTCAAGTATATATTATAAAATTATCATGACTACCATCGGGTATCTCCGCTAGTTATTTATATATAGGTTAAAATAATTTTTTATTGTCATTTGCTTTTTGTTCTAGTCCGAAATTAATGCTCAATCTGAATATCTTTCACAAAATGTTCTTAATGTAACATCAAAATATAAAGATAAATTAAATATAATTAAAGTTCGTTTGTAAGTCTTTATTTAGAATCCCAAAAGAAAAAAGAACAAGATTAAAGAAATTTTGATTATTATTATTATTATTATTATTATAGAGAACAAGCAGAACATAAAAGACATGAAGTACAACTTCGTAATGAAAAATTTCAAAATGATAGACAACCGTTTGATGTAAAAAAGTTTGATATGGTTTCATCATGTCAATTTAATTACTTTTTGAATTGTTAAACAAAACGACTGCTGGTTCAATATCTGCTCCGTCAATAATTCGTTTACGTGTTGGATATGCACAAAAATTTTCCATAGATACAAATACATTGATTGAAATACGTAGTGATACAAATGATGTTGATATTTATTATACATTAGATGGTTCAAAACCAGATGCATTTATAACATTAACAACAAGACGTTCGACTATACAATATAAAAAATCATTTTATATACCAAGAGATATAGCTAATACAGGCATCACGGTAAAGATATTTGAGAAAACAAAAAAATCAGTTTGAAGAATTTTTATTTTTTTATTAAAATTTATTTAGTGATGAAATACGAGAAAGTGTTATAGTAACAAAAATATTTGATGTTAAAATTATTCCATCAGATCATTCATTATCGGATGAATATGAAAATCGATATTTATATGAATTACAACAAGAACGAAAGGTAAAAAATTTCAAAATGATAGATAATAAATAAATTCAATAGAAATTTACTTATCTCATGCTTATTGAAATACTGTATAGAATACTTTTTTTTTATTATGAAATCATACCTATTTTTATATGAAATGTACAATGAATTTGAATCAAGTGAAAGATATATTATTTTTAGTATTTATTTAAGTAATTTGAAAAAGCATATTTTAGAAAAAGATGAGATTTCATTAAAAAAAACTATGAACTCGATTTTTATAGAAAACATATCTGAATACATTGAATTTTTCATAAAATATTACGAAAATAAAATAATCTGTTGAATATACGAGCAAGTTTATGTGTCATTATAGATGATTAATCAAGATGTTAAAGTTCAATTAAATATTAAATTTTTCAATATAAATATATTTTAGTTTGCAAAAATATTTATCTTTAATTTTATTTAAAAAAAATTGATATTCAAGAATGTCTCGATATCTCAAGAGTTCAATTAGAAGATCACTAATATAATAGCAGTAATTTAATGCTTGTCTATCGATATTACTTCATTAAAATGTTTTTTTTTCTATGAAGTTCAAAACCTATCAAAGTCATTGACACATCTTCAATTTTTGGTTTTTAAATTTCGACTTGAAACTTTACATAGAGATAGATGTTAACGAAAATAATTTATTGCAAAATATTTTTCATTTCGCCGATAAGAATGTATCTAAAACTTTCATTACAAACTATTGTCAGTGAACTCAATCTCTGTGAAAAATTCAAATTCGAGATTTGAAAATGAAATATTTCTGAAGAATGTCATAGTATTATCTAAAAAACAATTTGTAAACATACAATTAGTAAAGCAATCGAACTTTTTTCTACATATTTAATTCAGTTAAATATTTATTAATTGATTTTATAATTTTACTTCAATAGGAATTAATGAGAAAGATGCAAAATGAAAATGAACAAACGCAACAAAAATTATCTGGTATCAAAAAAAAAAAAAAAAGTAATTTTATTTATTATTAATCAAATTTCTATATAGAATCAATGCGTCGTTCAACAATTGATTCATTAGTACAAGAAAATCCAACTAATTATACATATTCAAATTCTCAAATACAAACAAATGTTTTAAGGTTTATCGAAACAAAAAAAAAATTT